CATTGATGCGTAAGTACTTACGCATGTGATCTAATCTCGCCTGTGTACCATCTCTTACTTCAAGGTGATTAACTTTGAAGCTTTGGCACAAGATTGTCAAAATAAGTCTCCGTTATAACTTTAGTCTAAACTGATCTTTACCGTCAGTCTACATTGCCTGATAAATTGTCGTAAACACGTCGATCATAAAACATAATATAAGAACTAAAACACCTATAATATGACAAATAATTTTCAACGAGCTTGATGGCGTTGCGACGATTAAAGCAATCTTTGTATCAAGTTTTACAAAAGAAAAAAAATACCAATGGCATTGATATATTTTTTATTCAGAGAAATTGCAGAGGTATTGTAGATCTCTTCTTCAGTTTTTTTTTTCTTGCTACTTTCGCTATTCTGTTTTGCAATTCTAGCCAGGCAGTGTATACATGAGATGCCCTGAGGCGTCACGCACTTTCTCTCGGACGCTTTTCCGGTAGATGCAGAGTAGCGAAAGGGTTAATCCTCCCACGCGCGCAGTCTCTGTGCATACGTCGCAGTAGGGATATACCCTCGCGAAGCCGTGCAAGGGGGATGCATGTACGTGTGTACATTTTGCACACTGTGGCAACGCACCCTTCTCATGCCTGTCCGGCTCCAACATCCTCTTTGTCTTTCTCATTGTCTCCGTGTGTTCGCGCGTTAATCGCAGATTAAGCGAGAAAGGGAGAGAAGGTGGATGAGGGAACTATGGGCGAAAAGAAGACAACGGAAAGGGATGGAATCAGGGTCGGATTTCCTGTTAATACTTGTCGCGGTGACGTTAATGGAGAGTTTATCTTATAGCTCTAGAGAGGATCTTCCGAAAAACATACAAAATGTGGAAGAGCGAGGGCGTATGAAATTTTTATTCAAATATTGAACCAATAATATGTATAACCTATACGTAAGTAATAAATAGCGATATTAATAGTGACGTAAAACGAGTCGTGATCAATAGCGTGAAATAAAGTGCTCTATTGCTGTATACCGAAACTGCACAAATGGGCAATGTTAAAAAAAAGACATTAAGCTGTCGATATCAGAAGCATAGATATTCCTAAATATACGCTTTTCGTGTGTGTATAATATATGTTTGGCATTTAAAAATTTAACCGTCTGTAACGCCATTTGAAGTTGCATATCCATATTATTAGAAGTTACTTGTCCATAGATCCATATTTTTTAAGTCTCAATGATTTAATCATTATTTTCCGTTCACTATTTTTCTTCAAAATTCGATTATAAAGAATTAAAGGCTTTAAAAGTTAAAGCGGTTCAAATTTCTCGAAAATACTTCCGTTAATTTCTATCGATTTCATAGACGCGTTTTAAGACGCTCGGCCTACGTACTCTCCTGCTTATCTTGATTACCGAAATAAACTTATTAAGATCTTAGAGAAACCCTGGCTTTCTTCAGTACTTGTTCGGACAGGATATGACGACCCTTTCCTATCTCGATGTCTTTCTTTCGCTTGAAGGGTCTCCGCCGCGGCGCCGTACGGACTCACACTCGGTGTCAGGTCGATAGTTTTCCACGCTCTCCGTCGTCGCAATTTTTGCCTGTGCGCTCAACGTGCGGCACCCGTTCGCACCGGTAAGACTGGTTATATCCATGAAGAGTGGCTGCTCGATGAAAGGATCCTCTCGGCGGCTCTTTACGGCCAGGTTCAATCGATCGTTCCCTTAACGCGCGTCGCCTCAGACGTGTCGTGCAAAAATGCAACCATTATTTCATATATGTATACAGCACTTTATTTCACGCCATCGATCACGACTTGTTTTACGTCATTATTAATATCGCTACTTATTACTGGCGTGCACCGTTATGTCTCACATGTACAATTATTTACTTAAGAAAATTATTGATTCAATTATTGATTTAGAATAAAAAATGTATCTATTGAAAATATTTCTCAGAGTGCAACTTTCGAGTAATTATATAAGTAACATTATCGATTTCCTTACAATATCTGTATTCTTGTAATTTATAACATTGTAACATAGCGAAATTCATTTCATATAATAATATGGATAAGGAAACCACCGAGACTTTTACAAAACCAACATGAACAGGCTTGAGAAAGATCATCGCGATAAGGGCACGTGAAACTAATATAACTGCAGCGATGTTAACTATTAATTAGAATTTATTTTACATCGTCATCGTTATTGCTACACTGAAAAAGATCTCTGGTTGAAAATAGACGAACCAGAAGATTCTGATAACAATCAGAATTCTGGTTGTCTCAACTAGAATCGTAATAGATTTAATCAGAAAATTCTATTTGTCCATCTATCCAACCAGAATTCCAATTAATGCAATCAGACATTTTTGCAGTCATTAAACACATCGATTCTAATTTCTACCAAGAATTATTATTATAATTAATATTAAAAAAATAGAAAGTATGTGACTTCATAAAGGAAAAGATTGAACAGATCGCGTGATTGTAATGGCCACGCGATATTAGGTTTATTTTTTTTAGCGGAATTTCTTGCACTGTTCACCTCTCTCTCTCTCTCTCTCTCTCTCTCTCTCTCTCTCTCTCTCTTCCTCTCTTTTCTTTTTTTCCAACGTGAAAAAAGGGAATATAAACCAAGCTATATGAAATTTAGCTAAAAAGAACAGACCTATTAACATCTTTTACTGTTAAATTTATAATGTTAAATTATATTCAACTTGACTTATTTTAAACCATTTCTATAGATCGCCACTGCTCCTTCTCAATAAAAGTCGCTAATTAAACTAAAACAATGAAGTTAAACAATTTAACTTGAGAAAGTGTATTAAATTTGACTCAAAAAAATTTGGATTATCATTTATTAAACATATATGTATTAATATAAACATTGTTTACGCTGAAACTACCCATAACAGTGGATTGATTTATATTTTAACACACACGGAAGTTAAAAATAACAAAATGTTATTTAACAAGGGATTGGGTTGGCATTGCTTCTTTGATTTCTAGCAGGATAGCGATATCTGTATTCAACGATGTCATCGGTGCTTTCTATCGAGAAAGTGACGGGTCCTCCGCGGTCGCAGGGTCGGTTGGAGGCGGCGGTACGACAGCTGGCCCTATATACAAGGGCGTGGCCACGTTTATCCGAAATAATCGCGCGCATCGACGACAGAGCAAACCGAGTAAGATAGGCGTAATAAGGTAGCCAAAGAAGTGCGGCCGTCGTACTAATTACCGCGAAAGTATCGAGCCGCTAATCGCAGAATGCGCGCGCGAGCGTATACGAGCGAGCGAGCGAGCGAGTCATTGACCTTCGCTTCTGGCGAAGAGTTTCGTTCGTGCGTTCCGGCCCGCATCCTTTATATCTCCGCAGGTAGGTGCGCAAGTGGCCGCAGGAATGTGCTTTCGTTCGAGGCCTCTGAGTGCTTCATTTTTCTTACGTGGACGTCAAGTAGCGTCAACGACGCGTGATATTATCCTCGTCGTCGGTTTATGACTACCGAGCGTTATCCGCATAAGAGATTGCTCGCGAATACGAATGAGAAACGCTCCATATATTTGCCCGTTTAAAAAAAAAAAAAAAGGAAACATAGTTGCCGTGCTGGTAATTTTAAGAGATAGAATTCTCGATTCTTTTCGGTAAATCCTGAAGCAGAAAGGATTCGAAGGATTAAATGATAGGACTCGCGACGTGTTGTTTTTCCACACATTTTCCTTATCTTTATTCTACACTCCTTACTGTTTTTGCTATCTACTCTTTTGCCTTTGTTTTTATTACGCTATTCTCTTGGAATGGTATTGTACAAGTCGTGCAACTCTGTGACATGTTATATTTGTTCGACATTTGCATTCTTTAGCTTATTAGTAAAATAAGAAAACACGCTACTTAGTGTATACACGTTACATTTATTAGATTCGTGGCGAAGCCTTTGCAGAAAAAATGAAATCGCCACGAAATTGAATTTTGTACTTTAGCCGGCTTCTGTGGTGTCCAGCAAAACTGACTACTCCGTTATTTCTTCATAAGTCACGTGCAAATCGTGATATATATGCCTCTACACGTAGCACATGTTTGTAACACTAAATTTAATATTAACTTGCTAGATATTATTTTCAAACATTTTCTCTCTATAATGTAGAAAGTAGAAATGTTCCGTATGTTTATCTATTGATTTTTTTTATAAAATCATATATCACGCGTATATAATTATATTATAGCTTCTATTCTTATATTCTTACATTTAAATTGCTCCTTAGATTTACGATGGAAGTATTTTAATTTGACAGGTGATTAACTTGACGTAAAACAGCCAATATCGTTTATATCCAGACAGTAAAATATTAGTTTTATAATTCGACGCGCAACATAATTTTTCTTTGTATTCTCGAGGGAAATGAGACTGAATTGTTTTAACTTTTGTTTATCGATACGTTTCATGGGGTTGATCAGACAATACTAAATTTCTTTATATGCCAAAAATTAATTTGTAGTCATCACTTAAATTACATTACAAATTTACCTGACATTGCGTCGCAGTTTCGCTATATACGTTTTGAAACAGTACAAATTATCGGATTAATTACTATGCACGCGATTGTGTTAAATGGAACATCCCCGCGATAAGTTTACGCGAGAGCATTTCATAGCCGACGACCATAATTCCATAGTGACCGCGTGTACCGCAGCCGATCTCGACGATCTAATTTTCTCACGTTGACTGCAATCAGCAGCAGCCGGAGTTATCGCACGGCATTTAATTATCGTGCAATCATATTGTCATCGGCCTGTAATATCTATATGAAACATCACGTAGCATTGGTACATTGGTACTAATGCGCCATTGTAACGTGAATCGAATCATTTAGTTTAAAAGGGAAAATTGCGCCCTGCTGCAATAACGCGACATCACTCGCCCCCAGAATTCTCCGTTATAATTTATCGCTGTGCCCTTTTCCCCTATACCTTATCATTCCATTTATAATACTCATGTCGACCTTTCTTTTTCTTTACAGGGAAGAACCTGTACAATAATGAGCACGTAGCAATTAAAATGGTGAGTAAGAACCGAGCGTTTTATATAAGTAATTGCGATACGTAAAAAAACTCGGCGACTTCCGCTGTCGACCTCACTTGTTACGCTTGTTGTCGCAGGAACCAATGAAGTCAAAGGCGCCACAGCTACATTTAGAATATAGGTTTTACAAATTATTAGGTACACATGGTGAGTATCATTTTTACGTTGTTACATTCAAGACTTCGCGTAGTAAGATTGAAGACATAAATTTACAGACACAAGTAAAGCGAAATTAGAGAATGTATTGAACCAAAAAAATTTTAAGAGGAAGAAAATATGAAATATTCGCGTTAAAATATAAAAAAGACGTTTATAGAGAGTGGCGGAGAAGTAGAAGGTAGTTTATTAATTCTATGACGCCTATAAGATAAATCAATAACTCTCAAATAAACGTTCTCGGTACTTAGTGCCGTTAGTCTTTCGTCGATGACGCTGCGAGAAAATAGTCCAGCAGCAGCTCGAACCTTTGCATAATTTGACGCAATACGACATGCGAGATATGTAATTTACTTCAATTTTCATACGAAAATTCTGAGTTAGCTAAATCTCATGTGAAACAATCGCACGTGTAATTTCTATACGCTTGACTAGCTCGACATAAATTAACGTCACAAATTGAGATTGTATCGGAAATGTACTTCATGTGTCATACTCGAAGAAACATATTGCGTTTTCCATATATATACATATATAGATACGAGCTGTTTTGCATTATCTTATAACGGCTAATTTTTTAGCCAATTTCGAGTCGACTTTTTTAGAAACGTTGAGTCATTATTTGTCGCGGCTTCATAATTTAGTGAATATTGAGCAACAGCCATGCGTTTCTCGCGCGTCATTTTTGTACTATTTTAGTTATTATCTTTATAATTATTCCCATTGGGAAAAATATTTAATTATTTATTTAAGGACTTATCATATAATATCGAAGCTTAAAACATTAAGTTATATTCCATTGGGAGTTGTACTTATTCTGCAAAGTTATATGAAAAATATTCGCGAAATATCACAGTTCAGTATATGTAAAATTTTTTTGTACAAGCTTTGTTCCGTATACTTTTTCTTTCTCGTTTTGCGTTGCGTTCTCACGTTAAATGAGAAATTAATCAGAAAATTTCCAACATTGTTAACAAAATTTTTACTACTGAAAATATCGTTCATAGAATTATATCTGCCTATTCTACAGTCGTAATACTGCTCTTATTTCGTTTTATGCGTTCCATTATAATTTCGCGCATACATTGGGGGTGATCTGGGGTGTGATCTGCTTTTGTCGATCGGTATAGTTCATAACACACATATAGAGGGTATACCGGAGGTGTACTACTTCGGCCCGTGCGGGAAGTATAACGCCCTGGTGATGGAGCTCCTTGGTCCAAGCCTCGAGGACCTCTTTGACCTCTGCGGGAGGAGGTTTACCCTCAAGACCGTTCTCAACATTGCCACACAGCTCGTAAGTCGCATTACCGTAACATTTTCCGCAGAACTAACTCTCAAACAACCGCACTTTGGAGGTCGATTTCAAACACCAGACTATTTGACATCTGGCAAACCCCACAAACATCAACGTTTGCCATTCGCTATTTCTCCTCAGACCGTTTTCTTTTTATCACCAGAGCGACTTGTTTGAAACTGTACTATTTCAATTAAATAGAAAAAAAAAAATTGTTGTTTCGCGAGAATAAAAATCTATCATTTTGTTTGGTAGAATAAAATATAAAAAATGTGTCTGTTTTTTTTAACAGCTCCATAGGATAGAATATGTTCATAGTCGGCATTTGATATACCGCGACATCAAGCCGGAAAATTTTCTGATAGGACGATCCACTACCAAGCGGGAAAAAATTATTCACATAATCGATTTTGGACTAGCCAAAGAGTATATAGACCTGGAGACGAACAAGCATATACCGTATCGGGAACACAAGAGTCTCACCGGCACGGCGCGTTACATGAGCATTAACACGCATCTTGGCAAAGGTAACGGGCGTTTACTTTTGTTTTATCGTATGTATGCGTATATGAGTGAATGTATGTGTGCCCGTTGCGCTGCATAAACCACCACGTGCTAAGCCATCTCCTAGCTGGGAGAAAGCGCGGCGAGTGCTTTAATCTTCAGCAAGTACTGTGAGGGGTCTCTCTCTTTCAGACTTCAAGTAACATAAATTAAAATTATTTAAATTTTAATAATCTTTCAAATGTAGAATTGAATTACATAAATAACCACGATATAAGGTCAAAGGTTTAACAGAACTTTACAGTACCTGCTGAAGATCAAGCCATTGTGAATATATCACTTTTATAACGCGCTTGCTAGAATTTTTTCTAGAATTCTTCTAATATGTGTTGTGAGTAATGAAATTTTCTATTGTATAAATAATGTTGAAAGCTGTATGAAGTATATACGAAAGGCATATTTTACCATAAACAGAACAGAGCAGAAGAGACGACTTGGAGGCATTGGGCCATATGTTCATGTACTTCTTGCGTGGCAGCCTGCCGTGGCAAGGGCTGAAGGCCGACACGTTGAAGGAGCGCTATCAAAAGATTGGCGATACGAAACGAGCGACGCCGATCGAGGTGCTCTGTGACGGCCATCCCGAGGAGATGGCCACGTATCTACGCTACGTACGTAGGCTGGATTTCTTCGAGACGCCGGATTACGAGTACTTGAGGAAGCTCTTCCACGATCTGTATGAGAGACGTGGCTTCGTCAATGACGGCGAATTTGACTGGACCGGCAAGACGATGGTATGTATTGTATGATTGTGACGATTTTTGTCCATGTTTATTCACGTTGTTGCAAAAAGTTTTTACAAAAGCTTTGTTGAATGTCACGTTCGACACATTATTTTTTATCCAATAATTCATGAAAACAGTGACATATATTTGCATGTTAACTTGTTTGTTATATTGAAAAATATCGGTGATAACCGTCGCTAACAAGAGAAAATGAATCGACAACTGAAGCGTGATCTTGCATTGACGTAATCTATAAATATATATTTTTCTGTTCAATAACGAAAAAAGGATTTTATCAACTGCATTTATTTATGATTTTATATCTCTTACATAAATAGAAATTTTTTACAAAGTATTTTTTATCAAAATGTTATTCTGATCTTTGAAATGTAAATACCGTAAAGAGATGATAGGAATAATATTTACATATGATTCGATGATGCAAAGATCGATTCTTTTCGATTGTTTCTTTGGTTTTCGGTAAAAGATTCCCCTGCTTCCAAGTGACTTCTATTTTCTAAATTGAAATTTTTTTGTCAGTTATAATTTTCTAAATAATAACTTGTCGGGGTAAGACAATTGGGTAAGTAAATCACCCGCCTATTGTAACAGACCCGCAACATAGAGCTACGCAATACCGAAGCAGTTTCACATTTGATTTTTAACATTTGCATGCTGCCTTCTCTCTCAATGCACTATCTCTAGCCATCCGACTTCGAGAATCTGAGAGCACTGCGGATGGCAGCCCCTTCGCATATCGGCAAAGCTAAGTCCGACAAGGTTGGTGGTGGCTTACGAGTAGTGACAATATCTTAGAAAACTACGGCCGAGTAATTGGGTTTCGATATCTTCGCAAATTGCAATAATCGCATATCTATAATTCTTAAATGTAGTAAAGTACCGTTGCATTGTCACAATATTCTAGAGATCCTCAAGTAAGAGATTGAGCACCATAAATTTGGTCCATTTTATTTTGCAGGATCTGCCTAAGATAGAATCAGATAGAACATGAGATAGAATGAGATATCCATGCATCTCATTCTATCTTAAGCAAGTCCTGAAAAATATGGATCAATCAGAAGTTGTTTAAACGGTGTTCAATCTATTACATGAGAATATCTAATTCCAACTAATCGTTACCACGGCCAACTGGTCTTACGTATACAGGGATCTAACGTGATTGTGATGTCACAGGTCTTCTGTTAAGTGTAAATTAAAGTGCACAGTTCGTCAATATGTCTGTCTGTCTGTCTGTCTGTCTGTCCATCCGCTTTCCAGCTCCAAGTATGTTATCTATACACCTTGTGAAAATACGTAGAAACGCGCGATAATGGCGCTCATTACAAACTTTCATTCATTATATATGTATATCAAGCAAACGTTTTCTCTCTCATTACAGTCCACGCCCGTCGGATCCCTTCAAACCGGCCAGGAGATCGTCGTATCACCAAATCGCGATCGGCATCCCGCCGCTTACAAGGTATTCCTTGTTTTCTTCTGTTTTCTCTACCTTTTCTTTTCTTCTCTCTAAGCCAAAAGCATGGACGTGTGTAGCCCATTTGTTATTCGAGTTAACCGCATGGATACACGCCTTAGTAGCGAAAGAACCGAAAACAGAGTTTTAACAACGACCTTGATTCAGAATTCTTGTTTATCTCAGAATAAAGATGTAGATCAAATGAACAAATTTTTCGAAGGTATCAATACGCCGGTGTTAATTTATTAAATACAGAAAATGACACGTATACTAGTTTCTCCGAGCATGTAATTCAACGCGAATATGATGGCATCAATTTGTAGGAGTACGATGATTTTGAAGAGGATGTGATCCTCATGATGGATGAGGTTCGCTTCGAATTGCAAGGCCGATATGTAAGCCAATCTTAGGTTACGCTCGATGAATCGACTTCTTCATGCATTCTTTATCTTATCAGCAACGAGATGAGTGTTGTATAGTCGGAAAGATACCCGCGGTCACATTTTATAATGTGCGTTGTTAATGTTTTTCTGATCGTAAAACAAGGTCGCGTGGGGTTTAATGATCGTGGAGCGTGAACTCTGCGAACTTGCGTCTTTTAGATCAATAGTCGATTAACAGACTGATAGCGGCAATACATTTTTTTTCGCGCAGTATTATTAAAGTGACTAAATATAGATGATGGACCATGGCGAGACAATACGTTCAGTTATAGATACGTTCAGAAACCTGCAATAACGATAAACTCATGCATGAAGAAGTAATTTCGCCGTGGTTGCTTAAGTAGCTCATCGGTTTGTGATAAGCTAGAGCCAGGAAATTTGTTGCATTTTTCCTCATAGTTCATCCGAATAAAACGTATGAAAATATTTAACGCGTAGATAATTATGTACATCTCGTTTATCATTAGGGAGCGAACCGCATTTTCATCTCTCTAATATAGAGATTGATCTTATTAATACGCGTTTATCATCACAAACCGCCATGCTATACCCTAAAAGATTTCCTTTCTGGATCTTTCCTCAACATCTTTTTTTCTACTGTCCTTCAAGTTTATTCGCGGACATTGTTTAACGCGATGCAACTGCGAAATTGTCATGCTTGTTCCTTCAGGATGTGGCAGGTGGAGGGGTGGGAGGTGGGGGCGGTAAGGGGGTGGGAGCCACGTGGCCAGATACTGTGAAGCAATCAGGAGCCGGTGGTACATTGACACCTGCTGACAGGCATGGTTCTGTACAGGTGAGTTTACCTGCGCATCTTCCTCTCTCGTGTCATTCTCTCGACTTCCCAGAAGCTTCTCCCTTTTTCTCGACTTTTTTTGCATCTTCTCGTTTATTTTCTGCCGATTCACTTGCAGTCCCGCTGTGAAAACGCTACTTTTTTAGCGACGCAACTTTAAATCTACATTAAATATAATCTCGTACATTTTTTCTCCGCGTAAAACTTAAAAATTATATAAATCTCGCGTGTATGGAAAGATCGATTAAGGACGAAATTATTCATTATTCTTCCCTAACTGTCATCTTTCTCGTTTCTCACTCTCATAACGTCGACGTATACGGGATGTCTCAATTTATCAGGAGTAAACTGTTCGCTCTATTTCTAGACAAAGCACCACTGGATTATGGTCAGTTAGAAGTCTGTGCAATTTGACTTGTTGCGGCATGTTGTCTTTGTGTCGATTGTGATCGAGACTTACCTTCTTTCTTTGATTGGATATGAGATACTAATCCGGTATTAGTACGATCACTTGTCTTCCCATGCACTTGCAATAACAAAAGTATCATCATCACGTACGAACCGTATGACTTTTGAGGAAGATCAGAGTTATTACTTATGCTTCTTTTTATTTCTTTAGAGTATATTGCTTTATTAAATCTATGTATCAGTAGTAGTTTTGTCTTATATAAAATTTTCACTTCCCTTCCCCTTTTGTCACGTAAGATTCTACTTGGTTCTTTATGTAATTTGCAAGTAGATTTTGAATAAATTGATTTTCAGTGTATATATTACTTTAAATCCAACTAGAATGCAAAAAGTATTCTTTTTTTTCATATCCAGTATCAAAAACAATCAAAGCTATATAGTTATGTAAAAATCCCTTGATGTAAAACGTGTATGTTTTTTTCTTATCAATCTTTGCAATAACGTTATACGATGTATACAGGTGGTATCGTCAACTAATGGAGAACTGGCTAACGATGACCCGACCGCTGGTCACTCCAATACACCAATCACAGCACCTCAGGAAGTGGACATGATCGACGAAACCAAGTTAGTAGCAGTTTGTTTTATTGTACTTTTCTGTATTTCTCTGTACTTCCGCGAGTGTTTTCTTGCATTTCATTATTGCATTGATATGTGCAGTATTCTGGAATTTTATTAGTAAAATTTACTTGAGAGAGTCTTAGTATAATTTTCGACTGTTAAAGTGAATGTTAAAATCAGAATAAAAATAATAGTAGCTTATATCAATTGGATATTAAAGATATAAAAAATTGAATTAAATTTAATGAGCGAACTAAGCTATGCATGTGTGTGTGTATGTTATTTTCAGAAAAGTAATTCAACTAAAACGGAAACGTTGTCCTCGATGTGGAAAATTATTGTTACGATCTTTACAAGCATATATTTCCAGCACTTATCCTACCCTCATTCCCGAACTAGGTTTGTTACACCAATTAAAATGGTCAGTTCAAGATTTTTTGTTTCGCAATATAAGAAGAAAATACGATATTTGTTAAATGTTATTAAAGATTGACTGTTATATAAATTTTATTTCTAAACTGATAATGATAAGAAAATCAGTGTCACGAATAAAATATGAAATTATGAGTTGAACGTATTTGTGATAATACTTTTATCTTAGAACAAAAATATTATAGTAGTATTCAAGTTTCGCTATTCTCACAACACAAACTATGTTTACAATGTATATAAGATATAGGGGCAAGATTTGATTTGACAATTTAGAGATAATTTTTTATTTGTCATTATTGTAAAACAAAAAAATGTTTTTTATATTACATTTAAATATTTTTATTATATCTTATACGAGGAGACTTGACTGTTAATTGTTAATGTATGATGTCAAACAGCATAGATAATCAGAGAGAAACAATTTTATTAATTTATGTATAATTTAGACAATTTGATTTAAGCAAGTCGCACGCCCCGTCTTCTCAATTATATTATACTATCAAAACGATGTATTTCTTTATATGTGGTGCAACTATAATTAAATGTCTATATTCTTTTTGTTTAGTTTATTCTCTACTCTTTTCTGATGTTCCCATTCCTTTCCTTATTATTTTTCTACGAATTTTGATAAAATCAAATTAACAACTGCATGATTAATTAACAAATAACTATATATTTACACACAATCAGATAACCTTATCTGGTATCTTATTGGGAGGTTGACAAATTTCTTTCTCTCTCGTATTGCGCGATCATATGTCGAATGTAATTATTTTCCCTCTGCTGCATGCTCGATGTGTTGATCGACGAAAGACACTGCCAAGGAGACGACTCTAAGTCCTATTAGTGTTTGCTTCATTTCCAGATGCTGTTGCTTCTTCAAGCGCAAGAAGAAGAAAAGTGGAAGGCAGAAATGACTGTCCGTTACCGTTGGTCTCGGGGGGGCGGTGCAGTGCGCGGGTAATAGTGCCGACGAGACCGTGGAAGTCGTCGCCACAACGTCAAGGACTGGCAAGCGCGGCGCGGGAACGGGAGTACGTGTAGGCGCAGGTACAGCAGGTGGTATCGCAGGCGGCGCTGATCCTGAGAGAGAAGCCGTCACTCTGCTGCGCGTCGGCAGCCGATCCGCGTCACGGGACTCGGTGCTGCACACCACCGTCACGATGACGCCAACACCGACGCCGCCGCCACTGTCGAACTGAATCATCATCGTCATCAACACCATCACACGACCATTCTATTACGTCGCCACTATTATTATTAATTGGACGGTTGCGCGACTGAGTCGAGATCGAGAGAATGAAGCTGCTTTTCCTCTGGCCAATCGAGCTGATCTCTTCGATAAATAAGCGGACTCGCTGACGACGATTCAGGCACTCGCTCCTCGGTGTAGTGAAATTCTGTAGTAATCTCAGTACCGTTGTGCGATCAGAATTGTCTTGGTTATGTGTTACGATGAAAGTATGGTCAATTATCGCCTTTACTTAAAACTCTATTCAGAGAACTTGATACATTGATGCCGGACTTTCATTGAGCTTTATCAGGAGCTGCCAGAAATTTCTTTTTTCTCAACTCATTTTTTTAAATAGAGTACATCTGGACAGATGGAAAATGGCTAATAAGGATATATTCTGCGACTATGTATCTTTTTTCTCGGTGAAAATTTAATTAATTTGATCTTTAAGTTAAGCGCAGAAATCTAATAAGACATTCAGGATATTGTAATTATATTTTCAAGGTGGATAATAATGTGATAAGCAGCATGAAAATTTAGTGCAACATAAAATGAGATTTTGGCATGTTTTCGCATGTTTATTCGACTGATTTTCTCGTCTCCATGATCGACAAATTCAATTATTTGATGATTAAATTCTCATGTCACTAAGTCCAATCAATTTCTAGCCACTGGTATCCATCTTTTTAGATATGCCTCATATGCATCTTGTAGTTTCATTTAATTCACACCCTTCCCTTGTTCTTACAAACGGGCTGATGAATATTCTTTGTGACCTTGAGCTACTGATAGAAGTTAAGACGTTAGCGAATCCACTTACCTACTTACTGAATAAATCCTCTCGTTTAGCCAAGAAAAGTGACCTCGTGCTATTAGATTATTGCTACTATTGTCATGATTACATTTCATCTTGTTGCTGCCCACTACCCACTACTATTACTATTTACTACTGCTACCATTACTACTATTAGGTACTACGATTACTATTATTATAATGATTATTCTTATTTTATTTTATTTCATTATTATTGATATTATTATTATGTTGATCATCTTTATCATCACTATCATCATCGTTGATCATGATCGCCATTTCCATTGTCATTATCACCATTGTCCATATCCGCGTTTATCAATTACGTTGTTATCGATGTCATCAATATATTGACACGTCGCTGTTGACTGAGAACGGTCGTCGGCCGTGACGGCGGCCATGACGTTTCAGTATCGGGAAACCAACTGAATCACATTCGCATTACATAGGAGTAAGAAGGAATTGACGTACCGATGTTGAGAGAACTTGTTTGTGCCTACGACTCTCTTCTTGAAACACGGGGACGCTTTTTAATACACCGCCGCGTTGTGCGATGGATACACGTTGGCGACTCGTCGTGCGATCGCATGTATAACTGTGAATTATAACGAATTGAACTTACCGCAGATCTCATTGTATTCACAGCCCTGCAGGATAAGCGAGCATAGCGTGTTCCTGAATTTGTTGTAATCGTGATTTCGATTGTCACGAAATCCGATTATAATCTTCTTGAAAGGCATGAAACTGAAAAGGAATAAGAAAACGACGATTGCACGTATACTGGCCCGCAGGGATGGGATTGAGAGAGACGTTAAATATATCTGTAAATAAGTGCTCTCATTTTGCCCTCGTCGAGTCCACAAATTATAAATCATGCGCGTCATGAATCGTGAGAACATATAGTGCTATGTATAAAGTGAAAGTTCGCGCTCTCCTGATTTTATTAGATACTTTTTTTATTTCGATTTTTCTTTTAATCCACCGTCCAAGTGATACAGAATAATTCTAATGCATTGAAGTATTTATATTAGGATATATGTAGTACATACGAGCCTTCCGTATAGTAAACAATTTTTATATAACTTTAATTTTGAGTTATATATTGTAGATGTGAAAGAGCAGCATTAGCATTAGCGTTATTAATAAGCGCTATCGAGATGATACTGAATCGTATTCATATAAAAATCCATACTAAAGTCGAAACTCCCAATACGTTAATTGTCGAGATAATTTCTTTGATATGTGTACACTGCCTATTTTTTCTACACGGGAATCATGAATGCACGATAGTTCTATCATCACTATATGAATCGTAATTAATATACATTAAGGAACGTTTTGCTACGAGTTTCTCGAAACGCGAAATGTCTTTTTGTGAATAATATTTCTCGATACGATCATGATATCGTTCGCGTATTATTTATGATAATTTCCCATCCGCCCGCGTACACTTGTAATTTTTAAATAATGGTGATGTAAATCGCGCAGAAATTCGCACAGTTTCCGTGCTATATTTTCCAAAGCAATATCATAGGATTCGGTTTCATGCCTTCCAAAATGAAATTATCATGTGAGAAAGTGATCTATCGCGATGAACAGTTGAAACAATTACATTTTACATAACATATCGATGAAGTAAGGTTTTTTCTGTCTGTAGACTCTATAGCGTATATAATGAAAATTTAGTAACGCGTAAATGCGAGGAAATTATGTGACTAGCCGAAATTATATGACATTGCAGTCAAATTCGTGTTCCATCACCAGTGTGTATCGATTAAAAAAAAGGGAAAAGAAAAAAAAACGATAAAAGAAACAGAAAAGAAAAGCGTTTCTTTCGATACGAATTATCTCCTCTGCGAAAAGAGTGCGACGTTCGTGGATAGCTCTTGTTTCTTGATCCATGCGCGTTTTCGATTATTAAAAAGGACATTAACGAACAAATGAGAGAAAGGAAAGAATCAACGGTGTGTCCACGCCTGATTCTATTTCGATGTTCTTGATATAAAAACTTACGTCATCGCAATCAATAATAAAAGCTAGAACCGAGCATACGTGATTTTCGAGACAGATTGATCTAAATACGAAACGAAAAAGATGAATCATCGAGTACGGTGTACATGCAATAACGTAAAAATTCATTTTGTAATGAACTCTCTCTGCTGCAAACATATTTAATTCACTATTTTTCATGATGAGGAGAGCCTTACCGTCGCGAGGCATTTCTAGGGATTAACACGAAGTGACACGTGCGATTTTCTGCTAATGGCTCGCGACGAAACGTTTAAGCGACCAAGAGACAAAGAAAATATGTACGAAAACCTGGGGAACTCAGAGAGCAAGGATCCCATCAGTCATATTGATTAAACAAGTAAGAATAATTGATTATGATTACTTATTAACGATTATTTCGTAATTGCTCACTTAAATTCGACTTTGAATAAAACTTTCTTGCTTTATTCATAGATTTGTAACATTTCTTAAAATAAGTATATATTAGCATCAGTTTTAAAAAATTCAGAAAAGATTTGCAAACTCTTTATTGTCTCATATTAAGAAGAAATTGAAAATTCAAGCAAAAATTTTTTTTAAACAAACATTCGCAGAAGTTTCTACGAAATGTTAACAACCTACTCCTTCCGTTTTCAGAATTTCTCAGAGAGAATATTTCCCGCTAGTATTACTTGTTTGCTCAAAATATAGTATAGTTAAACTCAAGTCTGTTTCTTTTTGCAGGAACACGGTAAACGGTAGAGATCGAATGAGGAATAGAGGCGCGGAGGTGGCGAGTGTGAAGAAACATGTGTTACGTCCAATGGTCCACACCTACACGCTAGTCTGGCCGATGACTTCGTACCGCTCCCAAGATGTATATGCGCATACGTACTATGTAACACGCCTGTACACCACGTTGTATCCACGTTGAATACCTTAAGTACTTCTCGGCAAGCGCGTCCGACAACAAGAAACCCATGTACTTACGGAACTATCGCATACTTGTACCGTAGTGTGTATTCGACACCGTGCGTGCTCTCGTACGATAAAAGGCAAACGAGAGACGGAAGAGAGGGAGGGAATCACTCCGTCGAACATCTTGAAAAGTAATACGCTTAAAAACATAGAGATATAATAAGCTTACTCTATGAATTTCATCTTTCTCTCTCTCTCCCTCTCTTTTTCTCCCTCTCATTAACTGTATCTTCCTACTGTCGACACACCGCGAGAGCATCGTTCCTTTCTTTTATAAGCTTGAAACGCAATTGGCGAGCGACCGTCGAAACAATCAGTCGTTCTACATTTATATCAGCGGACGCAGAAAGTGAATGAGTGATCCGATGAATGCCTGACACTGGATGATATCCGCGTACGTGGAAAGAGAACGAATCATTGAGAAGAGATGTTACGTCCGGGATGTTTTCCTCCCGGTGCGGCTTCGCGCGAGTCGTATCCACCGTATTCCCGTACTTGTACATAAGACGCTAGACCGCAATTGTTGCGTACGCGGATCACGTGTGCTTACGCGAATCGTCCTTGCGAATAAAAGTTGTTCGCGCGATAAATCCAATAACAAGCGGCACATGCGATTGTAAGTTTCGATCAGATGAGGAGAGCACGTGCGTGCGTGCGTGCGCGAGAGGTCCATGTAGGCGCAACATAGAGAAAAAAGGGAGAGAAAGTCTCCGATATTTATATCACTGTCCTGTCACCGGGGAATCCGTGTTGGCGTAATTATAATAAATCCCGCTGTGCAACTACGTTGCGTAAGGACGTTTAGCCCGTAATTTTCTAGCCGATTTTTCAAAGCGCGCACGCGCGCAAAGTCACGATTTTTAATATAACACGACTGACTGCTGGTTAAGTATGGTTGTGAGCAAATCCTGGTCTCCTCGGATATTGTAGACACACACACGCGCATACACACGCAATTTACACGACATACATGCACAGAACTTATACATTTTTCCGGTTCCCCTAGATACGTATCTTGCACGGAGAGAAGAGTGATTGTTGCAGACGTGGGAATTAAGGCTTGTTGTAATCCAAAATGAGAGAGAGACCATCTCCGTTCAAGAGATATTTTTCTTTTTCTTTTTTTTTTGTATATTTGTAAATTGGTACGAGTAGAGAGATTGGGGCCAGGATCGATATATCCTCGGTGTTTTTCATTCCATGGCTCATTGGTCGAAGAGCAGCATATACAGCGATAAATGTGGTCGTGCGTATCTGTGGAAAAAAAAATGAGGCTGCGTAATTAATTATCTTGTTGCGTAAAGCGTAACTTCGAGAGAAAGAGAGATTGGATGATAGTGCGTTTCCCCTCGTGTGTTGTGATCGTTTAATTGCATTAATACGTCGATTCGACGATGTGGAGAGATGTTGATGGGAGATTCCTGAGATTAATTTAATCAGCACTATAGTTTCTTCATAGTGAGGCTTATGTGTATACATTTTTTGACTTACTATATGTTCGTACTGTTTTAATGGACGAATTGTTGAACAATAAAATCGCTAATTGCTACGATAATAAGAAATCGCCGTTTTTATGAGATCGGCAGCTCACGCGTGTGGGTGTGCGAACACGTGTCCGTGTTCGATATTTTATTACAACGCGAGATTTACGAGACGCGATTAGCATTATAATTATACAGAGAAACGATTGTGCGTTTAGATTTGCGTCGTAAACTGTCATTTCTGCAGACACAGGGAGAAAAAAATTAAGGAAGAAAGATAAATTAAACGTAACGCGTAAAGCGTGCGTTTATTTCGATCTGTTTACATAGTAATACATCGTAGTAAAAAAATGCAATTTTTTATTACGATACTATGCGAAACTAGACCGAGCATCCTTATAATTTGCTTTTTATTACATAATTGACATAGTGTGTCATTGAGAACAAATGTGTTCTTTACAAGAAAGTTAACGAGAACGAAACGACGATATTTGTATAAGTGCGGATTTGTTGAAATACTCTGCACATTGTCTGTGAAATTGCGTTACTCCGCGATTTTTCTTCGAACAGTGTAAAAAATTGATCTGTATCCTGGATCCGTCAATATGTTCTTTAACGAAATTCAACGCCGCTCCCTTCAAGTGAATTCGTTTTCTTTCCACTCGCCTTTCGAACTGATATATTTGAAACCGAGCAAACTTGTATATAGCGATTAAATTGTTTTAGTACTATCATAGTGAGAATTATGTGTTTACACACGCCCATATATATGTGCATATGGGTGTGTGATTGTGGAAGCGAGGAGAGTGGTTTACATAAAAAAAAATAGACATTATATAACGAGACTGAATGATATATTATATACATCGGACCATGAAAAAAGAAACCGATTGTCTTACATTTGCATTTTAACATGCAGTGATTATTATTATTATATAATAATATAACGCGAATTATAATTATACGCGAAAAAACGAAAGTCTCTCAATTGTATCGATTCTAACGAAATGGATATGTATATCTCTCTCCCCCTATAGCGAAGATTTTACTATATATACGTAAGCTGTGATTGCTATCATATAATTTTTAACTTATATTACAATACCGATTATGCTTTGTTTAATGATTATACAAAACCGTCTGGCAAGGCGCTTTAATAGAAGAACTAAACAAAAAAAAACAAAAGAACGAGGGAAAGAAATAAGAAAAAGATTTGGACTTGCGTGGAAGCTTATTCTTGTAAATATGTGTTGTGTCTATTGCGCTTAGCCAGTAAGAAATTGAGAAAAAAGTTCTTAATGAAAGTTCCTGCGTACTTCCTCCTTAAGGTTTCTTTTATTCATTCTCTTCGTTACTTTGCGACATTTTTACAATCGTTTCAATGTTTATCAATTCTCTGTGATTCTCCAACATCTTCAGCAGTATCGGCTTCTTTTTTAGCATGTGATTGGACACTGTAATGAAGTTTCTAATGAGTTTCTTTATTATGTTTATTCTTCGTATATACTTTTCCAGTTGGTTTTTAGTTCTGAAATGGAAAATAAAGATTTTAAATACGAAATATTTCATAAGACACGAATTTCGTGGATCTTTACTCACCGTACGATCTCAGGATTTGTCTTCTGCAATCTTTCGCTTCGTATCTGCTCCTGTTCTTCGAGAAACTTTGTGTGTTCGAATATCGCCTTCTGACATTCGATTTTCAGATCAAGCTGTACTTGAGACGCCTTCTCGATAGCTTCCTCTGTGGTCATAATATTGTCATTGAGAGTGAAGAGTTTACTCATGTAGGTGTTGAGCTTTCTAAAAATAAGCAAAATTATTTTATCGTATCTCTTTACATGTAGCATTTCGATTCATATCTAAAGGTAAAAATCTCACTAGAAATATTTTGAAACATTTGATAGGCCAATTACAAAAAAGAATTTTATGACTCAAAGCATGTATAACATTATGTTGATCATACTCTTAAATCAATAACATTTACAAAAATTTATTTCTCACTGTTGGTCCTCTGCAGTGCCTTCCTTATTATTGAACATTGAGAGAATGGTGGTGCTATGAAGGAACAACTTGACAGCCTTGACGTTTAGGAGCGTGTCGCTTACGACATTTTGCAGTGTGTTTCTGAACTCATCCTCGCTTTCGCTGCGTCTGTCGACGTACTCTGCAACGTAAAACGCAAGTGATTCCAGAACGAAATTTCAAAGTCAAGAAAACCGTGCAAACCGACACATCAACGACATACGTTTGTACTTTGCTTTAAGCATTAATAACCTGGCGTTCAAGGGCATCAGCGACTTCCTGGTCGTATAGACCTTCTCTTCAATTGGTCTAAAATCGTCCAGCGAGACTGCGATGATCGGGAACTTGTTAAGCACCGCATTTAATTGTTTTGCGGACTGCTCCAGTTGATCGAGCTCCATGCTTCGACTCAGTGAGTTTCCCGTGTATCAGAGATACCACTAATGCTGGATTCACGAAACTCGAATTCCTCCGTGATCGCATGCCGAAACTGTACATTTATAATCTTTTGATGAATACATCACATGTGTACAAGAATTAAAAATCACACGATACCTTCACGAAACTGCGAAACCGCCAAAAAGTGGACGACTATGGTCGCGTTCAGCAGACTCAACTCAACTGTCGTGGAGCAGATCCGTGAGCACTCGCTGTTATTGGTGTATTCTTCTAGATCATCCAATAACAGTGTTGCCGCGGGTCAAAAAATAAATTCACCAAATGAGAGCCTGAAAAGTTACTAAAATGTCTGAAAAATCACCAAATGTGTTGAAACGACAAAAAAAAAAGAAA